AAGGGAACAGTTTGTGCTTATATTGTTCGATCAATCTTGCATGCCTATATCTCGTAATCTGAGCAACTACTTTGAAAATAACAATACACGATATATGAACCATGGTTAATTTGCTATTATCTTGATTTGAAATTCTGTATCATTTTTGTTTTTTCTCTTTAAAGTAAAAAAAAATAAATAAAAATGGAAAAATAAGTACCACATAGAGACAGAAGTCTTAGCTGGAAGCTAATGATATCACCCATGTGTTTCTGGTAAAGGCAAAAGCTGACATAAAGGAAAGTGCATCTTTTGAACTGGCTCATATATTTTAAAAAGCACAGATCTAGATTGTGGTGTGGAATTGAAATGTGTTTTGCAAAGCCTTGCTTTTGCCCTGTGCAGAAAACCTAGGCTGTACATCTCTCTCTTCCGGTTCACTTATATCTTATACGACCGTGTCACCTTGTATTTCTCTATTTAAAAATAAAAGGCAAACTCAGCAATTCCTTTTTCTTAAATTGCTTCAGTAACCAGCAGTTGCTACATTAAAAGTGTTAGCTGGAAGACTATAAAAATAGTCCAATGCTCCATAGCAGGTAACTACATTTGAGCCAATTCTCCTTTCAGGGATGTAGCAAGGTCAAATCAAATGACCAGGGAAAGATAGGATATGAGAGAGAGGGGCAACCAATTGACATTCAAAGGCAAAAGCACATTATGCTTGGAATGTTTTGTGTAAAAGTTAAACAGCACCCACATTTAACCACCTGCTTCTTGTTTAGAAGAGTTCGAATGAACAATTTCAAGCACAATTGAGTAACACTCAAAAGAAAATCAAGTGTAATTTCCTAAGTTGCTGAAGCAAGGGTTCTTCTATGAAATCGCCATTAGTATTTCTAAACCCAATTTGATTATATTTGAAATTTAATGCACACAGTTCAGTGGCACCTGGAAATTTCTTCATGCAGAGATGAAATTATGAAGTACACCTACTTAGATGATTATTTGTGTGTGTGTGTGTGTGTGTGTGTGTGTGTATTTTAAAAAAAATCCTTGGGTCATATTTGTAATAACACTAAATCACTAAAGATGACTTGTTTCTTTTTTCTCTCCCATGTGACAATATTTTGCATGGGTTTAAGGCATATTAAAAAGTAGGGTAAAAGGTACAATACAAAGACACCTACATCAGACCACCTGTATACCTCATCTTGAAATTCTTCACTTGTCTACCACCTCTAAACATTTGCTAGTTAGAGGAGAAAGAGTACTATGGGGGTATTCAGGTTACTTGGGTAAATCTCTTAAGAAGGCAATTTTTAAACTGCTTTTATTAAACACCGACTTCACATGATTACTTCTGCAATATAACCTTTAAAACCTGTAGTCTTCCTCAATAATCGCATTGGATTTAAATGATTTGATCTGGTCCTTACACACATCCTCCATTCTAGTTGTATAGTTTCCTTACTTACAACTTGTATAGCTTACTTACAATACTGAGCAATCCTGCCTTTCTTTTGTATATTTTTCCTACTAGGGAATTCTTTACATTGCACTTACACAAATATTTTCCATTCTAAAAGATTCAACGTGTCAACTTTATTGATTCTTCCAACTGAATTGATTCTTGTTTTTCACATTATCATTAACATTTAATGCTCATACCCACATATGGCCTTAATAATTTTCTTCCCTACAATACCTCTTATATTACTATCTTATAAGGCTAGTTTACCAATACATGCTTTGTCTACCTAAATAGATTGCTGTCATCTCAAATGTGGAAGCTTATTGCTTTCTTAGCTTGCAATGACTACTAGGTTACTCTAAGCAGCAAAGTTTAATAAAGATTTCTTTACTAATTTTAAAGATTCAAAATTTACCTGTTTTAATTATAGAAGTGATTTACATACCATTTTACCAGGGATAGCGTTAAGAAAAACAACCCAAGCTTCTTTAAATGAAAATGTTTCTAACAAAATATATTTTTGAAGAAATTATTTAAATCAAAGCTTTAATAACTTTCCTAAACCACAATATATGCTCATTTCCGTAAAAGTCATGGAACATTTCCTGAAAATCTCATTTCTAGAATGTGTCCCCTGATCTTCAGGATTTTTTTCCTGATGGAAAAAAATAACTTCAGTTGTAAGTTCACATTATAGGTAAACTATTTTATCAGTGCAAACATTCATTAGTGTTTAAAAATGAAAATGGTGAAATTTCAAAAATGACAACTGAAGAAATAAAGAACTAGTGATAGTGCATCTGAAACTAAAGGATTCATTTCATTTCATGCATAAGTTTAACAATCGCTATTAATATAAAATAAATAATGTGGCTTTCTTTACAGATGAAAAGATGGCTAATGATAAGCCTAGTTGAGAGTTTGACTGAATGTCTGCTAATCAAAAATGCTAGGCTGGGGATTTAGCTCAGCGGCACAGCGCCTGCCTGGCAAGCACAAGGTCGTGAGTTCGATTCCCAGTACCAGAAAAAACAAAACAAACAAACAAAAAAAAATCAGTAGGGGGCTGGGGATTTAGCTCAGCGGCACAGCGCCTGCCTGGCAAGTGCAACATCGTGAGTTCGATTCCCAGTACCGGAAAAAAAAAAAAAAAAAAATGCTGGGCTTGTGAACCTGATTAGTATCAACTTAATGCAAGATAGTCAGGACACTTATTAACAAAGCTGTTCTGAAGATGAGGAAGAGGGAGAATCAGAAGTAAAAGAATTGAAAAACTTTTATCAAAAGTTCAATCAACACAGCGTTCTGCCTCTCTCAAGACCCAGAAACCATCAGCTGTCTACAGTTACAGATAAAAACCGCACATCCCTTCTTCTCATAGTGTCATTCTGGAACACCCACCCACGGTGGATCAGGTTAAACTATTCTTGACTGGGTTGATAACTATCTCTTAAGGTTTATTACAGACATTTGGGAGGTAATGAGTTCCATACAGTACTTCTTCCCCCTGTGCAAAACAATGTATTACTTTTACTGTCTTGAAAGTACATCTTCAAGTGTAAATGAAATGACCCCTAATTCCAATGCTCAAGGATTTAGTTATTACTGTACTATATTATCAGATATAGGAGATAACATAAAGCCAATGAATACTAAGTGCAATGAAGAAAAACAAAATAGGCTGGTGTAGTGAATGACGTAGGGTGCTACTTTAGGAAAAGTGAAATTCTACCAGACCCCTACCTGGAACATTATTTGCAGGTAGAATATCCCAGGGAGAGCAGACAATGCAAGGCCCCTGGGAGAGGTATGTGTTTGGAAAATTCAAGGAATATCAAGAAGCAAGAGGCTGGAAAGAGCTGGGGATGGAGGTGCCTGACACGAGAAATGCTGACCAAAGAGGCTGTTCGTATCTTTAAACAGCTTGTAGACCACGTGTGTTTGTGATTTTACGGTCCGTGACAGAAGCTATGTTAGACTTCAAAGCAGGTCAACTCAGTGGTCTTTCAATAAGTGTAAAAAGTATAAAATACTGTAAAAAATTTAAAAATTTATTGTGCTAAGTGTCATCTAGACAAACATGTTAAATAATTGCCTCTTCCAGCTCTGAAATTCTAGAATTCTACAATGCCTTGGTAGGAAGCAAAGAAGCAAAATTCCTTCCAATAGAGAGGCCCAAGTGAATGTATATTACTGTATATAAATGTACACATCCATGTTTTCATCTGTAAAGAAAGCCACATTATTCATTTTTTATTAATAGTGATTGTTAAACCTATGCATGAAATGAAATGACTCCTTCAGTTTCAGATGCACTATCATTAGTTCTTTATTTCTTCAGTTGTCATTTTTGAAACTTAGCCATTTTAAGTTATAAACACTAATGTGTGCAAAATTCGGTGAATATTTGCACTGACAAAATAGTTTACCTATAATGTGAACTTACAATTGAAGTTACTTTTTCCATCAGTGCTATTGAGCTCCTTTAAGTTTCCATCACCCACTCCTTACTCTGCACACAAATATAAACACAATTTGTAAATAATGGACCATAACTGGCTCAGGGTGATAACACTTGCTTGTAATCTCAGCCCTCTGGAAGGCTGAGGCAAGAGGATTTCCAAGTGATTGCCAGCCTGTGCAATTCAGGGACTCACTAAGACCCTGTCTCAAAATAAAATATAATAAGAAAGGGCTGAAGAAGTAGCTCAGTGTGAAACGTCTGGATTCAATCCCCTGTACCATAAGAAAAAAATGGACTATAACTGTATGGAAACCAAAATATGACACATTTTCTTTTATTTAAAATAGAGCTCTATATGCTTCACTGTAACAAGTGCAAGGAACGCGTAATTTATTACCTTTTCCACTTTACAAAACAATACATTTTCAGAAAATGCATACATAAAAATATAACATTTAGGCAGATAAGTATTTACATCTGGAGGCAGCTGAAAGTTATGCAGTAATATTAAAATGCTTTAAAATAAATATTTCATGACTTGCTGTTGGCAAAGCTAAACATTTTGGTATGAAGTCTATCACAGAGTTCCTACTAAATTCTAAAATGTTATATAATTTCTAAATAAAATAAGTATATATGTTACTATAAAATGCATATTTTCAGAGACTAGAAATTAATGAAACATATTAATATCATTCATTTCTCTTTGGAATTTGGAATTCTCTTTACCTTCAACAATTAAATTGCAACTATGTACTAAAATCCCCATCTGCACATTTTTGATACAATTTATTGCCCAGCTCTCATTTTAAAACCTAATTTGTTTTTCTCCCTATTTTTATATACATTCACTTGGGCCTCTCTATTGGAAGGCAATACCTTTTTACATAAGAATAGCAACTAGCTTAAAAAAGTCTTTACAACAGTGATTCTTTTCACAGTAGTTCAAGAGTTCAAGGCATGTTTTGCAGTGTCAAAACGCAATGGTTTTGACATTTGTAATATGTTCTTAGGTATAAGAAGAGTCACACTACCAAAAAAAGTATAATTATTATTAATACTTTGAAAGTCAATCGAACATGGTTTTTTTTTTTTTTTTTAGATCTGAGTCTAATTTTCTGTTTCTGGGGCATTTTAAAGCATGAAACAAAACAGGTTTGAATAATCTTATTCAGTCTAAGATCGGAACAGTATGTGAGCTTGACACTAGTCATTGTGGAAATGAACTAGAATTTAATATTTTGTAGAGAGAAGGAAAGTATTGGGTCTTTAAAAGTGCTCAAATACTATTGCTTAGCCTATGGAGAAACTAGAAATTTTGATGACTCTCAATTTATATATTTCTGGACAGAACCTGGGCACACAATCTTGTTTCATAAGTCAATGAACAGGTTCAGTATGAATGAAAACATCAAAATCACAGTCTGTGTAACTTTCTGCAAGTGTCAGGGTAGAAAATTTAAACCAGCAGGTCTAACATCTAACCTTACCTGCTCTTTTAGATGCTAGGATGAAAAGCCAAAACAACTTTTTCTCCTAAATTGTCTGTTCAAATTGCAGTTATTAAGAACCATTTTGAATTTTGAATTCCAATTTTCTGAAGATTTATAAGCAGGGCCATTTTTTGAAAATATATACATAAGGTTCTTTTCTACCAATTAAAAATGTGTTTCCTCTTTCAAAGAGCCAATTGCAGACATTTCAGCCCCTACCTTCCCTGTAGCTGGGAGTATTTTTGTATAGCACAATATGCCCAATTTCATCCTGTGACAGTGTACCTAATCTACTATTCTCAGATCCTCACTACATATATTAATCAGAGTTCATAAAGCTCTGGGTAAAAGTCTTGCAGTTAAAACTGTTGTATGTGGATGGAAAATCTTCTGCTACTTTAACATGGAGCTGATTATCAGAAAATGTGGTCATATCTGACAATATTAAAATTAGGATGAGCTAGAACTCATATTTTCCCAAAAGGTATATTCACCTACAACTGAACTAGAGACATATCCTACAGCTTTTTAATAGATGAATTTTTAAAGGGGATTATTATCTAATTACAATATAACATTATATTCCAAATCATATGGCACAATGGTTTGGTTTTAAAAGATGGCAAAAGGAAAACAAAGCAATAGTATTAAATATAGCAAAAGTAATTTTAGCAGTCATGTTATGGGACATATATTCCATTCTCTCTCCAAGTCACTGTTTCAATTGGAATTTAGCATTAAATCAAAAGTAGACAATATTTATATGTTAGTTAAAAGTTAGAATATAACCAGACAATCTTTTTAAAGTTTAAAAGAAAGTCATCTCTGCCATTAACAGAACACTTTTTATAGTGCCGAGAGAATAATTACTGGTGAAGTTATGAGGCGAAACCTCTCATACATGAGTGAGAAAATTAATATCTTGTTAAGAAGTCCAGTGTGTAACAATCTGGACAGGGTTAGAGTACAACTAAAGAGAGACAAGAATCATGAAGTTAGAGTTGATGAAATCCAGAAATTGTTTTTTAATGTGCTGAAAGAAAATGAATACTGAAGATAAAACTGAGAAAAGAAAAAAAGTCAGATAATATGTCACTGGACATAGTCCAAAATTCATCTACCAAATCACCTTCCAAGCCATCCGGAGCATAAAGAGAAGACATCCCCTAGAGAAAGGGGAATCGGCAAAGTCATGAAACTTATCCAGTCCTTACTTGGACTGAACGTCTGCCCTCTCAGCACCCTTAAACTGCACTCATGAGCACTCAGTGGCTGCCTATCTAGCATGACAATCATTTCAAATCTCTTTCTTTGTCATGTTTTTCTCACTAAGCAAATTATTTTATCTTGAGAAAATTAAGTAGAAACACAGAGAAAAGTAGAATTTCATCATCATCTTTAGATGGCACATTTATGTGAGTGTATAATCAAGGTAAGTTCAGATGCATGTTAACTAATTTTTTAACTAGTAGAAGTTGAGCAGGGCACAGTTGCAGGTATCGCCCCTGGGTTTCTGAAATAACTCATTTAATCTCTGACCTCTGGTTTCTTCCTCTGTACGACATTGGAGTCAAGTCACAAAATCTCTTAGGTTCTTCAATTCCTAAAAGTTCTGGTTTTCATATTTGGCTGTGACATATGATAAATAATTTAGGTAACTTAGGGATAGCTTTTAATGAAAAGGTTAAAATTTCAGAATAATTAAGTAAAGAACTTATGTACTAAAATTAGGAACTAATAATTTTGAAGGTTAATGAAGAAGTATTTTTAAAGGAAGTGAGAAAATAATGAAATAAAAAGGAAGCTGGGGGGAAGAACGTCAAATAACTGAATATTTCATTAAAATGCTTTAGAAAGCTGGTTATATTATAGAAATTCTTAATACCCACAATTTTAGTAAAAGTTTTATATTTCTGTTGGTGTTTTTCTGATTAGAAGCCCTCAGTCAGAGGGTTCACTGTCTTAAGTAAAATAGTGAATAAAGTTCAAGTAGGTATTAGTACATGGATAGAACAAAATATTATCAAACAGAGAAGGGTTAAGTTTCACACACACAAAAAGAGACTAAAGGTATCGTCAAAAAAATCTGACCCTATTTTAAGATACTAATACCAAACATTTCTAAATAGCTTATAATGTTATATTTATAAACTTACATAAAGGAAAAATTATTGAAGACATCAACTGCCAACTTCTATTCATTTGCTACTTTTACTTGATTTCTTCATGGGAAATAAAATTTCCACAATTTAAATAAATTTGTTTAACCAAATAATCAATCAAAAACTATTCCCTGACAGGTGATTTAAGTTGCACAGCACATGACGGCAAGGTCGGTCAGCTCCTTGATTTCAAGAGCCTGGCCGCGCAGGCTGCCGGTGTTTAGGGGTGGTCTCCAGGACAGCCCTGAGTTCCTTCTGCTGCAGTAAGTCACACCGTGGCAAAATTCCAAGAAAGTAGTTTCATTTTCTTTCTGTTAATAATTCTACAATAGTAGAAGTTATAAAATAATAAATTAGAGTAGAACTTCTAACCTAAGGAATCTATTGTAGACTTTCATTTTAAAAGAAAAGCTGATTTTGAATTCTTCAGATACTGCACCCAAGTTACTATTTTCATACAATCATGGAAATTTAAAATGCAAAGTTAATTGAAAGTATAAAGATGAAAAGCAAGTGCTATGCCTAAAATAGTGCACGACAGTCATGTTTCACTTAACTCTCAAGTCAGAACATAATTAAGAATTCTAGATATGACATGCCAAATATTTTAGACATACAAGAATGCATACAACAGAATCTGCACCAATTACAAACTTAAACACGTAACTTACAAGGTAATAAGGCCATGCTTAAATATTGACAACAAATAATGTTTCTCTTACTTTCAGAGACTGATGCTGCACATAAATCTTATTACCTCTTTATACAGTACTGAAAATTCATAATCACATTTTCCCAAGCTTTGTATCATGTCCAAAAGCCAAAATAACTGAAATGAGTAAAAACACTGATATTCTGAACCTAACCTATGAAGAATTGCTTCGCTAATAACAAATCTGAAAAGTAATAAATATTACACAATGGGACATCATCAAAAACAAATCATATAAAATTTAACAGCATAGGTATGTACAGAAAATCTGACATTCTAAACTTTATCCTATTTTTATAAGTGAACATTTTCTTTGTATAGTCATGTTGAGAGTTAAGGAAAACTTATAACTTTTAATATTTTCCTTATCACATTTGTTGGTCTACCTAAAACATATTACAAAATTGAAGTACAAGATGATTCAGTTAGGAGTCATTGCTAACAAACAAAATATTGTATGTCAAAAAGTACCAATGTATAGATTTACAAAGAGTGAAAGGTAAATCAGCAAAATATGAGATTATATTATACACTCTCAAATAAATTATAAAACAATGAGAAATAAAATAGCAACATTAAAACATCCTCTCTTAAAAATTCAGTGAGTGTATTTATCCAACATACATGAATAAAACAATAAACATTATTCTCATTTGAGACTACAGTAAGACCATAGTAAATAAATAATTTCATTCTCTTATATGCAAAAACAGTCTATGAGAAATAAAGTAATAAGTATAAACAAGTTTACTCCTTCACATAAGCTCTTTTTAAAATCCTTTTTAAAACTGGTGATCTATTTAGGCTCTAATATCCAAATAAAGATACTCTAATATGCAAATAAAAACACTTTCTAAATGTGTTGCAAATATAAAGTGATTTTCACACCTATTCTTTAAAACCACTGTTATACATAGCTCGATGCATTTTATCTGTCAATTTACTTTCTTCCCACATACTCATATCACTTTTCCCATTCCCAAATTAGATTTTAAAATCTCTGAGTGCAGGACTTATCTATCTTTTTATTCCCCCTTGTGCCCAATGTTGTGGCAAGCAAGACATGGGGTACTCCATGATTATTTCATAAATGGAGGAATGCATAAATGAGAATGAAAGCATCCCCACCGCTGTCAGTTTGTTTTCTTTCCTATCTCAACTGAATCAAATGAAGATGGATTCAGTAACATATTTCCATAGTGGACTGAAGTATAGTCACTGAACTGTGCTTTATATGAAAATACATAACACTGTCACCCAACTTGTACTTTGTAGAACACTTATATGTGAGACAGTAAAATCTTTCCTCTTCCCTTAATAAACAGGTTCTACTGTGGCCAAATAATTTGATAAATCCAGTTTTTTTTTAAAAAAATCAAGTAATAGGTTTTTACTGCTAAACTTCTCAAAGCACATGCTAGTGTTCAAGTATCACTTTCTAAGAAGCTATCGAAGAATATTTTTGTTTGTGGGTCACCTCAGCAGAACAATTTTCTACGGAAGAAAGTTTGGGAAGCAACATTTTAGAAAAATAAAAGACAACATGTAAAATCTCCATCACCAAAGCAGCATTATATACTTGATGGAAATATTTAGCATCTCATTAAATATTCATCACTCTGTTGCCACAAAAAGTACAATGGAGAAAGACTATCACAAGCATTGCTCCGCACCCATCTGCTCATTTTGAAAGGTTAGGGAAATAGCCATTCACTGTGTCTGATACTCCAGCATCTGGTTGTTACACATTTTGAAGTTTCTAAAATTTCTCTCAAAATATTTCTTTGCTTCCTCTCCCCTTCCTATCCTTTTCTTCTAACTTTGTATGTACAAAAGTAATATGACTTGTGAATTGCATCTTAAGACATCTCCAGACACTAGATATTCGGGTTTAGTTAGTCTTTGGAAGTGTACAGAAACTCACAGTCATTAACAAGCAAAGTAACTATTACATTTCTATGAGGAAAGTGCCATATCTAATAGATGCGCTTCTAAAATTTCATGCAGGTCAATCATAACTCTGTAAAATAATTCAATATATATTCTATATGACTAAACTATAAATATCGTAGTGAAGATATTTCTGCATAAGGAGAAAAGCACTATGAGAATCAAGAAAAAGCAAGAGGCTGGCTAACTCTTCAGTGCTGATTGTCACAAGATCTGGGCTATTGCCAACTGTGCCGTTAGCTGAATGACTTCAGTACTTTTTTTAGTATTTCAAGATGTCAGGTGTCTCGTCAGCAAGTGAGAGGAAGTAATAAGTTTAGTGTCTTTCAAAGTATTTGCTTTACGGACTGTTGCAGTAGTGGGTGATGAAGAACAGGAGAATGGAGAGGCGAAACCAAGCAAGTGGGACTCTACTCCCACTTCCTTATTTCACCAAGCAGCTCCACCATTATGTGATGTTTTATATACTAAACGTCAGAGCACTATTTATTTTTTAAAAGAATATTAATAATTTTAACAAAGGAAACCATAAATGGCATGATCTAAAGAGATATTTAACTATAGCTCTAGTTCACATTTTTAATGACTATTTTTCTTCTGAGGAAAATATATTTTACTTTTTTCTATTCATTCATGTGCTGTTGGTTCAAGTAAAACAAAATCTTTAATGACTTATTTTATATAGCTTATTTTACACTTTTATAATATTTTTCTCATTAAATAAAACGATGAGTTCATGTATCACTTTTCAAAACAAACTTAAAGTCAACAAGGAGGATGAATAAAGTCAGCTCCTGCCCAAGCTTAACTTTAGAGCTATTTTTTCACACTGCCTTTGGGCACTTAAATACTGTACTGCATTATCTTTGAGGTAGAACCAAAAGGACAAAGGAGAAAGAAAATGGCAAGAACATTCACATAAAGAGGGAAAATGGGAAAGAATGCTGTGAGAAGTTTCTTTGTGGCAGGATTATCATCAAGCTTTGCAATCTTCTTTGACACAAAGTTGAGAAATAGTCTTCTTAATCCGAAGGGCAGTTAGGCGTGCTGCCCCGTTGGCATACCAGCACTCGCGCATTATCCTCCCCATGACACGGAGTGCCTTTAAGAGAGAGAAAAATGTAAAAAATTAGCTACTTACACAAACAAAATACAAAAGAAGCAAAGTCACAAATTAATTCCAAGCTTGATGAATAAGAATAGATTTGAAAAAATATGAAGAGGCTGAGATCAAACTTCAAAAATTCTCTCAAAACACCAAAATATTAACTTCACGCAGACTAACTTAATTGAAAAATCAAGTCACTGATGTCTGGGAATGTGGCAGAATAGCTGTTTAAAAATTCTCTAAGAAGAAACATGAAAAACATGAAAGGACATAGAATGGGTTAGCAAATTCCCTATGTCTTGATCTGAGTGAGTAGTAAGTATATGTGGGTACATATAAAAAATGTTTATCAAGCTCTCTATTAAGGCTTATGCTTTTTACTATATGCCAACTATACCACAATAAAAACAGTGATCCAAGTATAAATATCAAAAATATTAATTTTTAAAGTAAGTATAAATAAACTTACATGGAAGATAAATACTTAGGGAAATAACATGAATACATGAAACCATAGAGATACAGGAAACACTAAAGCAGGTAGCTGCTTTAGTAGCAGCTGCAGATTTCATAGTCTATCTTAGAACTTTAGAACTGGTGGCATACATGTGAAAGACAGGAAAACCAGTCTAAAGCAAACAGAAAATGTTGAACACGCTTAAGGCCTCCAATTTTAGGATGAATCTGTCCTAAAAAGAAAGTTTGTAAGAGGAACTGCTTAAGTCTTCCTTTTGATAAGAAAAAAAATCAAGTCCATAATTCTAAACATTGCAGTAAAGCTGAGCTCATTGTGAAAATCCACAAATATGGGAGGAAACAAGGTTGTATACAGAGAGCCAACTGAGATGCTAATCCACAAAATCAGACCCATAAATCAGAAGTTATAATTACATGGTATAGCCAGTATATAAAATATAGTTTGAAAAGAAAAATCCAAATATGAATAAAAAAGTATTTTTGAAGTACTACTAAAATTTCTTGATATGAAAAATATAACAAAGTACTCAATGGATGAATCAAACAGATTAGATACATCTGAAGACAATTAAATAACCGGATGTAATGCCAAGAGATAAAACATAAATACATAGACATAAGCAATAAAAATCTAGCTAAGTAGAATGACAGGTTTAATATGAATCCAACGCACTGTGCAAAAATGAGCATTAGAGACAATGAGAAGAGGAATGACTTAAACAGAAAATATTTTAGAATTGCTGGACATGGTACTGCACACCTATAATCCCAGCACCTGGGAGACTGAGGGGCAGGAGGATTACTACAAGCTTGAGGCCAGCCTGGGCTACAAAGTGAGTTCAAGGCCAGCCTCAACTGCATCGTGAAACCCTGTTACACAAAGACAAACTGACAAAGATTTTAGAATTTTCAAGAACTGAGGAATAACGCAAATTCTTAGAATTAGCAAGGATATAAATTCCACTCAAGACTAACTGAAAAAACATCACAGAGAAACTGCAGAACACTAAAGACACAGAGAAGTTCTTAACAGTAATCAGAAACAGAAGAAAAACAAACATAAATTGGTAACTTTCTGACATCTCAACAGCAAACGTAGAAGTCAGATGACAGTGGAATAGCAACTTTAAGGTATTTAGAGAAAACAGCTAATGAAAGAGATAATTCAAATTTTTATGCCTAAATTAGTTCAAGACTAAGGACAAAATTAAGACAATTTTGGACATGCCAGACTGGAAGAATTTAAAACCACCATGCTATCACCGAGGGAAAGTAAAACTTTTAAAGGATGCAAATCAGGAAGTCAGAAAATGATTTCAGAAGAAAGCCCTGGAAGAAGAACCACTGAACAAAGAAAAGGAGAATGTCTAGCACAAAGGGTTAACCTAAAACAATATGTAAATAATTAGAAAAGTGCATGTATCCGCAATAGGCAAAATTGATCACACATAAAAAGACTACATGGGGTATACTCTAGAAATGTATGATTGGTTTAACAGTGGTACTCTATGAATACAACTCATTCTTAAAAGACTAAAGTAGACTACAACATGTCATCAACAGGGACCAAGCCTATATTAAAACCAAACTCGTTTTTCTAATGTAATTTTTTACGACAACAAAATACATTTAAAAATGAATTAGATATGTACACAAATAATTGTATACACACAAATATATATATACACATAAATATATATACACTGATATATATATATATCATACTCAAAAGTGAAAAATTAGAAGTTTTAAGGAGAAAAACAAGGACACCCACAGTCATTACTTTCAGCAACATCACATTAGAGGCTTTAACACTGCAATAAGAAAAAAATAGCACAAAGACTTGTCCCATAGCTCTCATCATTTGGAACTATGACTGTCTACGTGGGCACCTCCAGAGACTCAAGTTTTATTTATTTATTTATTTATTTTTGTACCGGGAATCAAACTCAGGACCTTGCACTTGCCAGGCAGGTGCTTGTGCCACTGAGCTATATCCCCGGCCCTAGACTCAAGTTTTATAGCTAAAATACTTTCCCATACACACTTACATAGCATCATCATCTTTCAAAATAACTCTAAGTCACATATACGATGCCAGTAGTAGAACGGGTAAATAGATTTTGCTATATCCATATAATGGAATGTTACACAGCAATGACAATAGATTATAGCTACATATTTAGATATATTATGTATATTATGTTATATATTATATATAATAAAGAATAAATTGAAAAGAATCTACAGTAAGTCTTAATCATATATTTCATAAATATTCAGAAAGAAAATAAAACTTTTAGGATCTATGTTTAGATACAAATATACATATAGCTAAATTCTAAAAAATATCAAGGCACAATAGATAATTATAATGATAATTAATCATCAGGGCAAAAACTCTTCAAAAGTGTTAGAAATATTCTACTTTTCAAACTTGATATGTTCCAATTTCCATTTTATTATTATACCCTAAACTTTATAGATTTATATTCTTATATGTACATAAAATTATTAATATTAGAAAATAATTTAATTTAATTTCTACTAGGTTATAAAGCCTTCAAAACCTGCTTTTTAGATATATAGGTAAGATAACCACAAAACATATAAAAATAAAAAGACTTACCTTGTATAAAAACTTTACAAATATGAAAGGGGAAAAAGATTAGGAAAAAGGGGGAAAGGCACCTATCTAAAACAATGATTCTAGTACTAGGATGACAAGAAAACTACAATGGTCTCTGCTGTGAGGGACCTTTTCTGATGAGAGAAATTAAGTTCAGACTTCAGGAGGTTAGAGTTAGGAATAGTCTATAGATTACAGGGTGACGGAAATTGGAACTGGAATTGTCTATGTGGCACAAACATTGACTATCCACTGAACTTGACCATGACAACCTAGGTCCCCAGTTCCCTTGCTGAGGGGGCTCATGTGACTGGCTCTGGTCTGAAGCATGAATGCCAATAACATGTCCCTGTGCCGAAGTGTAAGGAGCCAGTGTGTGACCCTGGGTCCCTTCTCGTCTGACCTTGAGATCTGGGGACTGTGTGGTGAGGGGGCACACCCAAGGATCAGTGACCCTCTCGGTATGAATAGATGTCTACCCATAGAAAGCTGGGGAAAGTTGCCTGTCTGCAGAGGATGAAGTGTAAGCGAGATATAAAGCTTTGTTGTATAAACTCACCAGGATTTTAGGGTGTGTTTGTTATGGATACATACTGGTAAAAAGGATAAAATAATCCTGATGGCTTATATGGAATGAACTGGATGGCTTAAAAAGTACTGTATGGTCTCTGAAATCCTCCCTGATACTCATCTGAAAAATATAACAGATAAAAAGAACATCCATAACCCCAGCACTGCAAGCAAAACAAAACACAAAAACAAAAGCAAGACAAAACTAAATCCATGAAGCCTTACTTCACAGCTTTGCCACTGGTTTGGGATACTTGGTCGAAATTTCTGATCACAGACAACTTTCCTCATCTCCTCTATGGAGGGATCTGAAGGCACCATATCATAATAAGGCAACTGGTACTCCTCAACAATTCCTGTAAAAAATTTACATAATAAGTGTCCCTATACAAATAATGAACAAAGACGTCCACTTAAAAATAATACCATTTAGGTGCAAGTGATACTCTGGGAAGTCAGGTTTATTAAAATACTTTAATACTATAAAGACCAAGAATTCAATTTTGAAAGCACTCAACTGTCTTAGTTGTATAAAGGCATAAAATTATACATTGTGGAAATATAAAAATTTATGTAATAATATATCATACATAATATATAAAATTTATATGATTTTTCTCATTTCACAAAATTATATATTTTCTATAATACATTTTTACTTACATAAAAGTAAAATTTTTACTTACATAAAATGGCATTTTCCAATTCAAAAATAGTACTTAAATTCTCTAATTGTCAAATTTATAGCACAGCCTCATTGTTCTGGGAATGAAGTGTATTTCCCCGTCAAATAATTTTTTTCAAAGCAAAACAAGTCTATCTTTTTGAAAAATTTAAAGCAATTTTTAAAAACATGAATCTCTCACATTTAGGTTTTAAACCTACTACATCTGAGAATATCCTGGGTCATCACCCCAGAGCTAGGCGAACATGGGGGTGGATGTTTACAGCCTCAAATCCAAAGACAAAGGCAACTTTAACTTTCACAACACTACTTGAATTCTAAGGACAGCCTTATAAGGTTTTTTTAATTAAAAATATCCAATTAATTTTTTTCTTTTAATTAAAATATTTAAGGACAAAAACCTCACAGCAAATCTAGACAAGTATCAATACGGAATTTTTACAAAGGTGTTAGAAACCTTGGTATGTACGAAGCATTGTCTTAAGCCCTTTATGTATTTTAACTTATTCCTCAAAGCCGCTGACTCAAGAGTGAACCCTATTATTTCTAGTTTCCAGGTGAGGACGCTGAGACAAGCAGTGTCGTGAGTGTGCTAAAGAACACACAGCAGATCTGCATTTAAACCCAGGCTCAGAGCCCACAGGGTTTGTGTTCCACACCACGGGGACTTCGCATCCCTGAATGTTTCACTATCTCACCAATGAATGAAAGAAAAAAGCATGGTTCTAATTCAAGCATAATGTAACCTTATAAGTTTTTTATAAAATCTGCAAGGTTGTAAAAAATGAGATTGATGTAATAAAAATGCAAAAAAAAAAGACAGTGGCTTAATGAGTTTTTATTGAAGGTTTACCACTAGCAGGCATGGTCTTGAAAAGTTCATGTAAACTAGGTAATTGAATACTAAAGTCCAAAAGGTCATTTTCATTACTATCTTTATTTTTAAAAATTTTTGTTAGTATATGTTTGTAGTATATAATGTTTACGTTCCTTGTGGGGAAATTGGTACATAACAAATCCTAATTCCTCTTTCATCCGCTTTCCATTCCCTCCCTGCCTCCATCCATTTCGTATTTTAAAGGAGAGGAACTGAAGCTTGAGTTGCTAACAGTCTCATTCAAGGCGCTGCTGAACCACGGCTTCATCCTGGGTCTGTCTCACCGGAAAGTGGAAATTCTACTCGGCTCCCACCAGCTTTTAACCTTTTCTCCACTGACGAAGCAATTTCATAAGACTGTATCTGCAGGGCTTTGCCCTCTCCAATTCTTCCTGTCATTGCTAATTTCTAAATTCATGAGAGCAGTGGAGACAGAAAGGTTGTCTTTGTTCCCCTTCCCCCTCTACTTTATCTCTCTGCATTTATCGGGGGATAAAAAAGAACATAACAACCTAGGAAACTGAAGACTTTAAATTCTGTAGCCTGGGTAAGTCTTTTGACTTCTCTTTTTTTCTTTTGCCCTTTTTTATTAGTACATTTTTGCAATACACAATAAATACACTCCTTGTGGGGAATTGGTACACACCCATATTACCTCTTGATCCTTTTTACTTCCTCTTTCTCTCCCTTCCCTACCATCTCGCTTCACCCCCAGAGTAAGTTCTTTAGGATATAAAGTAAAGACAGATACAAGCTACCTGCACAAAAATTCAAATATGAGTGCCTTCCAAAGCACCAGTGTAGAAATCAGAATTATCAGAACTGTCACCCTATCTAAACAAGACTTAGTATAAAAACTCCATTGTATACAGGATGTTCCAGTCTTCAACTAGAAACATATCAACAAAAGGTATTCTCCTAGATATTTAGAAATGATTCAATGTAGTGCTTAGGGAAAAAAAAAAAGCTCCATCATGTATTCAGAATATCAAGCCAAGATAGATACAAATGGTATTTCCAAAATCTTACCTCCAATTGAACACCTTCGGGCTATTTCCCAGTAAACCAGACCAACAGAATAGATATCAGCTCGTTTGAAGGATTCGAAAATATTGACATTCATTGTATCATCAAGCATTTCGGGAGCCATGTACCTTCAAAAACACACACACCTCCGATATTCTCTATAACTTCATAGCAAGCCAATAAAACACAATCTTAATAAATCCAATATAAAATATAAATTAAGATAGTTTCCATCAATTTTAAAAGGAAGCCTGAGTCACAATAGTAGAATAAAATTAAATACTATGCGATAGTAGTGGACTGACCCACCAATTTAAAAATATTTTAAGTAGACCTAGGGGTCATTCCATTCAGAGTTATAGGAAGCAGGTGTGCCAAAAACCCTGTACTTGGAAACCACAAGGTGGAGGGAAATTAAAACACTCCACAAGAGAAATGAAACTCAGTGTCCAGCAAACTGTGCTACCGCGGAAAGCTGCCTGAGGGCAGAGTGAGCTGTGCTCATCGTGGCGCGTCCAACCCTCCCCCGCAGCGATAGCCCGCATTCGCAAATACCTCCGGTGAAGGAACTGTTTCAGTATACAACGTGCAAGAAAGTGATAGCCTTTGAACAGGTCTAAGTGGAAGAGATCTACACTCCCCTGCCTCTGACTGAACCTAGCTCTCCTAGGGAGATTTCTCAGAATATGGAAATGAGGGTGCAACACCAAGCTCTTTGAAAAGCAGCAACTCCTCTGAAAAAACTCCAGCATCCAAGCCTTTCCTAAGGATCTCTGATGGGAAAGGGAGATAAACAAGGTAAGGTTTGTCCTTACTGGCAAAAGAAGAAAGGTCCCTCTAGCTGTCCAGAGGGAAGAAACTGCCCAGAAATGTTCCTGTAACCTCATTAAAGTCTCAGGGAACCAAGTGGAGGATGCACAGGCACAGCCCTGGAGTCTCAAATCTGGTCTAGAGGCCAGCTGTAACAGTTTAGAAATTCTCTGCTCTCAAGGGCCTTTATCACCTTCAGAAAAATAGTTCAGTTGTTGCTGATCTCAAGGTCAAAACTCTGGAATTATGCAAAGTCACACAGAACCTGCAACTCAAACAAGGAAATGATGCGCTCTGCCCAGGTGGCCACCTGCTGGCTATAACAAGAAAAACAACAGAACTCCCATGAATAAGGAGTCCGTCCCAACACTGTGTGATTCATGCTTTATTCTCCGTTTCTGTCATGTTTATTCTTCACTGTCACACATTCTGTTCTTTAAAAGTGGGAGTTGTATCCAAACTGATGTTATCTTAATACACATCACCTGGAGAAACTTAAGGATAAGTACAAGTATGGGAGATCAAAAAAATTTTAGTCTTTAAATACTGAAGGAATATAATAACATGTAAGTATATTTATTATATAGGGTCTCCCACCTATCTACTCCAATATATTGATTCTCTAGCTGTTGTTTTGAATCTGAACATGCAATAGCAACTAGTTTCACATCATTTATGAGGTATAAAGGCTTTAAAGGAGCTATGTACTGCTGAAAGCCTTTTTTCCCTTTTTCCTTTTAATTTTTTATTAGTAAATTTTTACATTACATAATGATGACATTCTTCTTAGGAAGTTGATACATGTACATAACACATCTTAATTATTTTTTAATGCCTTTCCCCGATCATCTCTTAATCCCCTTCCCAGATGAAAAAAATCTATCTCTCTATTTCCTATTATCTACCCTTTATTTGTTCTTTATTTGTATTTTGAGTTATTCATGTAAGAAAAACCACGTGATATTTAAACCAGTGCATCTGACTTATTTCACTTAACATTATGCTCTCAGGTGCATCATTTTCCTACAAATGACTCAAGCTTCTCCTTCCTTCTGGAAGAGTAGTACTCAGTGGTGTGTACTGCATCTTTTTCACCCATTTACCTGTTGATGGACACATAGGCCACTGCCAAGATTTAGCTATCATGAATTGTGCTACTGTAAACATGGGTATGTAGGCAGCACTGTAATATGATGCCTTCAACTCTTTGGGGAATAGCTGATTTACATGGAATATCTACTTTTGGTTTTTTAGTAATCTCCATAATGATTTCCATAGTAATTGTACTAATTCACATTCCTACCCAAAATGTACAGTGGTTCCTTTTCCCCCAAAGCGTCACTAGCATTTGTTATTACTTGAATTTTTTTGATGACAGCCTTTCTTCTGAAAGTGGAATCTCGTTGTTTTAATTTGCATTTCTCTAATAGTTGGTGATATTGAACTTTTTTTATGTATTTATTGGCTATTTGTACTGCTTTTGAGAAGTGCTATTCATTTCATTTGCCCATGTTTGATTGGGTCTTTTATTTTGAAGACCTAATTTTTTGAGTTTTTCATATAGTCTAGATATTAGTCCTCCCTGTTTGAGGAATAGCTGGTAATTTTTTTTTCCATTTGGTAGGTTGTTTTTTCACTCTGTTGGTTATTTTCTTTACAGTGCAGAATCCTTTTAATTTGATATGGTGAAAATAAATCAGACAATTCAGGAGAAATGGATAGGTTCCTAGAAACATGAAATATCAAAACAGAACCAAGAAGATATAAAAACCCTGAATAATATAATAACAGGCAATGAAATTGAACCAGGAATAAGAACAATTTACCAAATTAGAAAAGCCCAGGTCCCATCAGATTCACTTCCAAATTCTGCAAGAACTTCAGAAAAGATCTAATGCCAATATTCCTCAAACTATTTAATGAAATCAAAAGGGAAGGAGTACTCTCAAAGTCATTCCTGGATGCTAGCATTACCTTGATCCCAAATCAAAAGGTTCAATCAAGAAAGATGAACAGGCCAATATTTTTAGTGAACATAGATACAAATATCCTCAATGAGATACTTGCAAACAGAATCCAACAAATCATCAAAAAAAATCATACATCATGATCAAGTATGCTTCATCCCAGAGATGCAAGGATGGTTCAACATACACAAATCAGTAATTGTCTTCTTATCCATCAGAACATGTGTTCTCTGGTGACCAATACAAATAATATATCACTATTTCTTCCACCATTCCTCTCCAGTAGACTCTGTAGCCAAATGGTCTCTATCTATTTGGCCAGAATGCCAACTCTCCCACTTTACAATCATCGTGCCCACTGATTTCTCAATGACTCAGAAAAGGCTCCTTGTATCCTGAGGTCTAACATTTTCTCATTTGGGGCTTTCTATGCATATATCACAAGCTTTTGTGTTTCTGGGTCAATGATAGGTCTTAATACACTACCAAAGTAAGTCATCTTACCTCTTGGTTCCCACTTTAGGATTTTGAGGTATGTCTATCGTGTTCAGAATGGAATCATGCTTCACAGCCAACCCTAAGTCTGCTATGGCACAAGTCTCACATTTTTTCACTAAGATATTCTTTGACTTTATGTCTCGATGAGCAATAGCAGGTTTTCCTATGAAGCATAAAACAAGGCATATTCATCTTTTTTCTTTACCGAAGACTGACTCTCTTCAATAAGATTTAACTCAAATGTTACTTAGATAGACCACCCACTCTGCACTCCAAGTCCTTCTGGAACAGAGCACCCCACTTTGCTGTTTTCAGAGCTCATATTACTATCTATATTATCTTGCTTATTCATGCGTACGCTTAACCATCTGTCTCAACTAAACTGTTAGTTGAATGAGGGCCGTGATTTTATCTTGTTCATCACCATCCCTCCAATGTTTAGAACACTAAGTGACATTTATAGGCGCTAATAAATATCTTTTGAACAAATTGAGGATGAATCACCATGGCTATGCACTCATAGAACATGGCAGATATTTTCTTACAAAACAAGTTTCAAATGTTTACCCTCCTAGAACAGCAGTTCCCAATGTGGCTACAAACCCTGGGGGAACCTGGAGACCATCTTCTAATAATGTATCTGTGTGACACCCCTTTCTCCACTTCAACTCAAACAGCATGGTGGGACAGACTGAATGAAGAATAGATATGAACGCCTACAGATCAAGCCAAGGTTAAAGAGATTTGCAAATAGATAAAGTAACGCAGCTTTTCTCATTAGGTAGGTTTTTATATATGACATTTTTAAAAGGACACTTTAAAATGCTATTATTTATGTTAACTTTTAGCTTCTAACACTAAACAAATATTTTTTTAATTTTAGTATGACAAATATTAACATAACCTACATTTAAAAATAAACTTTGGGGGTTCTCAATTTTTGAGCATATAAAGAGGCCATGAGTTACAATCTGAGATCCATTACTTTGTTTAATGACTTTCTAAAGTCAATTCTCTATTACATAAATAAATTAAAAAATCAGTGAGTATCACTGGGCTTCAAATACATAATGTGCAAATGTTTTTCATGGCCACATTATCTGCCCCAATTATTTTCTAGCTATAGGATTTAGTTATAGTTTTTTAGTTATAGGCCCAAAGATACAGGCTAAATGGCAAAGATGGAGCAACTAGGAATAAAACATATCATGAATAATATACACAACGGTAAGTAAATATGTAAAAGTTGGCTATGTCATAATAAGACCTTCAGCTTTGTAAAGCACTTTTATTGTTCCTTTATATTTGATCACTGTAAAGAACTAAAATGCAACTTAAATACAACCGAGTGATTGCAATCCTTGTATTCACTGAGGAAAACAAACTGAAGTACATACCTTGCGTACCAACAATCTCCATGTGGAGGTGTGCCAGGCCACTAGCTATTGAAAGTGCCAGTTTGATCATTCCGGCTGCCGTGACCACATTTCTATTCAGATAGTCATATAAGGAGCCCTGTTCATGATACTCAGATACAAGCCAAAGCTGAGTCCAAGTTCCATTATCTAACAGGAAAACATAACTTATTACTGAAAATATATGTTGAAAAAGAAGCCAAAAGCTTTTAACAATGTCAATATTTAATCTATATTGTTAACAAAGCAAAATTACTTCCTTCAGTAGTGATACTTACAGGCTAAATAAAGTAAAAAAAATTTCAGTGAATTACTGAAGAAGTTGATCTTTCAGAACCCACCACAGAAAGAAGTTGTGAGGAAGTGATTCTAACAACTAGAAAATTCCTTCCATATTCCCTCCATCAATACCTGCTGGCAATAATAACCCATTACACGAGAAACATGTTCAGATGCTGTATTTTATTATAAACTACTCTACGCTTTTAAGATCACACATATCACTACCAGAAATACACCAAATTTAGACAAAGTATTGTTATCATAAAAGTTCTAACACTCTAAGAATGTTATTTACCTTTCAAAATATGAAGTTAATGATTTCCCCAAAAGGTTATATAAAGAGCCAAATACAATTGCTACGCATTTTTGAATAATTTACTTCATTTAACCAAAAGCTAATCCAGAACATTTTTAAAAATTAGTGTAAGAGAAATTTGCCTAATGTTCCTATAAGGTATTAGTCTAAAAATAAATCCCTACAATAACCTGGATGATCTAGGAAAGAGATCTGTAGTGAACACTTGCTAAGAAACTCTGCTGCCAAATGCTTTATGTCAGAAGCTGCTTGTTATCCAAATATTTAACTTCTAAACCTAGGTAGTGATAAAAATTCCCTAGGGATACAATTGCTACAACATGATAAAACTCACTTACTTAATTGGTCAGACACACAACTACCCTTTTTCCCACTCTTTCACTGTTAACACCAGTGGCTATCTTTGCCCTCTACCATTAATAATGTCTTTATCAGACAAATGACTAAACAGTGAAACTGTAAGTGTGTTGGAAGATATAGGAATTCATGCAAAAGTTATAGGTGAAGTTAGAGGCCATCTGGTATCATGCACAGAGTAATGACAAGAAATATGACAGAGGCAGATCAGTTAAACTGAAGAAGAAAACACCAAAGATGAGCTCTTTCATGCATATTATTATATAATCTAATAAATATCATTTTGAATTAGCCCAGCAATATGAACCATATAGCCACAGTCACTGAATTGACTGTATTGCTAATTAATCTAACCAGTACGTAGCTTGGCTCAAGATTAGGAAGGGGAAAATAAAGTTCTTCATAACTGAATGAGAATGTTTCATTTTGAAAAGTTTGGGAATAATTTTAAAGTATACATAGTTAAAAATTTGAAAATTGTAAGCGTATATAGTTAAAAATTTGAAAATGATATAGTATATAGTTAAAAATTTGAAAATTATACTTTTATCTCATGTGGACTTTTAATCAGTTTCACCCTAGCAAATCAGAAAGAACAAATCATCAGCAAGCATAATTATGGCCAAAATATATGATACTAAACCCCTCTTTTTCTGAACAGGCACTAATGAATACTTTCATAATCAAATTTATATTGGATCTAAATAGCCACAAGGTTTTAATTTTCGCAGGCAAAGGTAGATGTCTAACATCCACAAATAATTGGTTTTAGCCCTTATTTTGGATGAGGCAACTGTGATTCCATCAAAGTTCTTCAGAAGTACTGCTGATTAGTTGTAATTTTAAAAATGACTGGATCAAGTTTTGCTCACTCCTGTCCTCATTTGCTTTCATTTAAATGAGTAAAAGCTTTGTAGGAAATGAGAGAGAGCACATAGGAAATCCACGGACTTTATATCCAGTCCTTGATTACTCAAACATGTATACAATATTCCAGGAGTACTAGAAATCTGATGCTTTGTTTTGTTCCAGTGAACTAAAAAAAAAAAAAAAAAAAAAAAACCACTGACTTTTCACTTAGTAATGTTAAACCTTAAGATACAAATCATTTCCAAAGTTCCACTGGTAGAAAACATTACTAAAATTGTTTTGCTTACCAGAATTCTACTATAATCTACAGATACCATGCATTGAAAACTTGAATCCTAAGGACAAAGCCTATTATACAAATGAAAACTCCAGTCCTCGCAAAGGTGAATATCCAGGTAGCATTCATTAGTATGTCTGTATTGTTATGAAATATTGAAATATCAGCATCCTGTTGTGTAGCTGCTATCCAGAACTCCTCATAACATTCCTCTGCCCTAGGTAGCAGAGTCCCCGCCTTCTAGTGTGTCTCTAGATCGTCTTCAATCAGCAGCAACTAAGTCAATGAGTCCATCAGGGCAGGGTTTTCTAGGACTGGACTCCAGTTGAGGCTTCTGCTTTACTTGGTTGGTTCCCAGCCCACAGAAGCCATGCAACATTCTAAACATCGAACTAGCTATTACACCATCATGATTTCATGGCACTCATGTGTCCTGCTTTATTGTTTAGCTCTGTGCATTTGCTGGTGGGAGAGAAAAAGGATTTTCTGGCCTCAATAAAGAAATTAGATTTTTACGTAAGCTTTATTAAAACAAAGAGATTATTTATTCTCACTGGATAAGAGATGTAATGGTTTCATGCTAAACCAAATTAGATGTAAATACCTTTGTTATCAGCAGCGATGAAACCAAGGATGTTTTCGTGTCGAAGCATAACTGTCTGATAAATTTCTGCCTCACGAAACCAAGATCTTTCATCTCTGGAGGAGAATATTTTCACAGCCACATCTTCCCCACACCATCTTCCATGCCACACCTCACCAAATCTACCCTTTCCTACTATTTCTTGAAGTACAATTGTCCTTGCAATTGTTCTCTGAACCAGGAGAGGCAGACCTAACCAGAGAAAAGGTGGAATTGGTCATTAAAAGGAAATGTCAGAAAAGAACTGTTATGATGATCATTCTTCTCACTTAAAAAAAAAATTTACACACTTTAACAATTTTATCAAATTTGAAAAAATAAGCATCATTATAGCAAACTTTGATGTCAAAGCAGGCTAAGGAAAACACTCTAAATTATGAATATGAATTTCTACTCTATTCCCCAAAATTTTCTGAAGATAGTCTGCTGCTGTATTTATCTGATTTCAAGTAATTGTCGTAAATTTCCCTGAGTTGTCCGTCATTGGTAGTCATATTAATAAATACACAAAGGAAAAAGTATCTTGTCAACATCTAAAGTAAAACGTATGCTTCCTGGTACAACTTGGAAAGCAAAAGAATTCTTCCTGAATTTTTTCAAACCAAATTAAAATTTAAAAGTAAAGAATCCAATTCAATTAGTCAGGTAATGATGTTGCACTAAAACATATTTTCTATGGAATAAAAAGTGCAAGAAAACATATTCCAAGTTATGTGTAACAATTATATTCTTTGAATCAATAACTACCTCTAGAATTCTATGCTAAAGATTCAATTCAAAAAGTACAAAAGATGTTAAAATACCGAATACATCATTTTTACTTATAGGAAACAATGAATAAAAGTGTCAAGTCACCTGATAACCATAGGCAAGTTATTTAACCTCTCTGAACTTTAAACTCCTTCTCTGAAAAAGAGGGAATATTGACATTCCCTATTTCATGAGGATAACAAGAGAATTAATGAGCACGTTGAGCACCTAGCACATCATCTGTTACTACATGTTCAATGCTGCCTAGCCTTCCCAACAGTATATTGATCTTACCATGGATTATTCAGAGCCAATAAGAATTTCGCTGTTTATAAAGAGGTATTCTGAATGACACGGGAAGCTACTTTTGCTAAAGTATTGAATGAAAAAAGCCTGGTAAATGTTACCCATGCAAATAAATGTATCTAGCTTTTCAAAATGCACACAGAGACTGAAAAGGAGACATGCTAAATACTATGGTGAGGGGGCTGGGGATTTAGCTCAGCGGCAAAAGCGCCTGCCTGGCAAGCGAAAGGTCGTGAGTTCGGTTCCCGGTACCGGAGAAAAACCAAAAGATAAATAAATAAATAAATAAATAAATAAATAAATAAATACTATGGTGATTATTTCTATTTGGCAGGATCACAGTGAATTATGATATTCTTCTTTATAATTTTCTGTATTTGCATAATTTCCACAATGGGTATTATTAGTCCTATAAATAAACTGGCTATGAGATAAATGCATTCTAGAAAGCCAGTGTACTTACTGTCACTGTACTCATATGACAGGGATAGCAAAAGTTCTGCAGCTCATGGGGGTCTTGGCCCTTGCTCCAAAAATGAACCAGTTTATTTAGATGTTTTCATTTTTCATGAGAATCACCCACTATGGCTAATATAGGCACAAACTAGAAATTCGATGTTTTGAACCTCAGTGATTAGTCACAAAGCCCTAAGTCAGAAGGTTCTTTTGAAATCATCTGGTTCACCTGAGTATGTGTTGTTCAAATTGACTCCTAGGCCAACTATAAAAGTCACCATCTCAGGACTCTTGGAGCTCCTTACTTAGGCAAAATCTCAAGTATTATCTATGTGAATACTGAAGATTTTTCTCCATTTTTGAGCCAACCAATGAGAGGAAATTAGTTCAATTTGGAATGTTTGTATATACCTATTTAAACTTTTAAATCACTATAGGGAGTCCATTTTTAAAGAACAATAAAATTTGTGTATGGTAGAAAAAATAAATCACCTGTTGTCATTGAGAGATGAGAAAATTGGGGCCCAACAGCTACCAAAACCTTGTCTGGGACTGCGGTGCTGCTAGGAGACTGACCCAGAATGAAAATACTCCTGCCCAAACTGTTCCCTTGCCCCTCTGTGGATGTGACCATAAATCTCCCCTTAGAAAAACTTCTTGCATCAAATGGTAAGAGCTATTTAAGTAGGATATGGTCAATTTTACTCTTTGACCACCCGCTAAAAGTGAAAATAACAATCACTAGGCCAAATTTAAATGACAGTCTCACCTTCCCCTCATAGTCTTATATACACACACCCACACTGATAAATACATCACCACCAATAACATAAGGACAAATGGATAAAGAGATGTCAGTGCTTTCAAACTGCAATGGATTCAACACACGCTCAATGGTGCAGATCACAGACATACAAAAACAACAGAATTAAAGCACCCAGGAGAGCATTTAAATTCAGATGGTAAGAAAAAGTTGCTTTGGTATCTTTCAGTGAAACCACAAAAAATGAATCTGAGGTACTTCTTGTGTTATAAACCTAGAGATCCCATTTGAAAATACACAAATTTCATTTTAATCATTTTAACCGGGGTTGTAGATGCCAACCTTTTGTCAAGATCCATCAGAACGGTTTGCCATGAGAGAAAGAAGTAAGCTACCTAGTCTCATAGAAGCCACCTGAGGTGTAATCTTTACCCAAAGATACGCCAATGAAATATCAACCTGTTTTTCCTCTCTTGCAGGCACTGTATCTCTTCGAAATGTGTCCCTGACCAGGTCAGGGCTAAGCTTTACAATTTTTGTTTCTGAACATCTCACAAAGCAGCCTCACATATAAGGTCACTAACCAATTAAGAAAAGCAGAATGGAAGCAAAAGCACCCTGTGAGCTTTTGTGGCCAAAGCCCTGCTGAGATAAACCCAATCTCTCAATATCAAAAGCAGAGACACCTTCAGCTACATTTTAGCCAGTGGTCACTGTCAGGTATATGCAATCAGCTTTTGCAAAAAAGAAAAAAAAAATGTCTAAAACACATTCATTTTATTTTTTTCATTTATTTTTATTTATATGTTTGTAGTAATGACTACATTTATCGTGGGCAGTTGGCCCTTGTACATAAAACGTTTCCATTTTTTCCTCCCCTATTGTTATGGTTCTAATATAATAGAATGTTGACAGACTTAATACTGGCTCTTAGGGATTGTTAAACCTGCATTATAATGTTCAAATTGTGAAATGATAAGAATAATGTCTTTGTATTTGGAAACTGGTTGTCTGGTTGCCAACCTGATAAAGGGTGGATTGTTATGGTTGACACATTGTGTCAATCTGAGGAGGCTAAAAGCTTAACTGAGTAACTCAGCAGTTTTACATCCTGGAGTGAACAGGACAAGCTCTTCCTGCTCTAGGATGTTGTTCATTGTGTCAACTTGAAAAATTTAGAAGGTTAACCCTGTGACACAGCAGAGGGAGCCAGCGTCGTTACTTTGTATTCATCCTGAGCCTGTGCAAGGGGAGGGCCCCAGAGATGGTGCAGGCATGGGCAGAGAGCCAGCATACAATGTAAGGGACCAGAAGAAGTTTGCTTTCCCCCACTTTTGCCGTGCTGTGCTGCCTTTAAGTGTTGCCCCTGTGCCCTGCCACCCTGCCTTGGAGCCAGCTGATTATAGGCTGAAGCCTCCACAAACTGTAAGCTAAATAAACCTTTCCTTCCTTAATTTTGGGTGGTGGGTATTTCTCAGCAAGGAGAGAAAAGCAACTAAGACACCTATCCTTCTCTCTCTCCAACTCTCTGTTCCCATTGCATTTTCAAGAACTTTATTTCTGGTTTTTTCCTTCTTTTCTTTTCTTCCTTTTTTTCCTCCCCTCCCTGCTCTATCTCTTGCTCCCTATCCATTTGAAAAAGATCTTCCAACTTTCTATTATCTATCTTTTATTTTGCTAGCTTTAAATCAGACACACAAGCTTAATTACTGCATGGTTTCTCTTATATGAAAAACCTAAAATATATTTACATCAGTCTTCAAAGAAATCATTTATGCTTGCATGTTTCTTTCTATATAAGATCTTTAAAATAAGAGTCTAGACAATAAATTCAAATTAGGTTTAAAAATACACAAAATATGAGAAAAGCTTAACATAATTTTTTTAATTTTATGTCTTACCTCTTACTAAGTACATAACCAGTATCCAGCTTTAAAATCTGTACTATTTTTATTGAAAAGAGAAACAGTCATCTTGAATATGTTTAAAGAGTAGCTCTAAAATGCATATTCCTATCTAACTTCTTCAGATAAACTAGAATGTTTTAGTGCAGATTAAATCCATGGTTATTTAATCATGTGAACCTCAAAATTAATTATAAAAGTTTTCACAAAATTAAACATAAATCAGAGTTCTCCCTGTGACTAGAATGTTGTCAGTGCTCAAAAAATTAGGGCACGGCGGACCTCAAAAATGTAATAATGAAAGAAGGAAAGAGTATTGAAGCCTAACAGGTATTACTTTTAAAGAATTCTAGCTTTCTACTCAATAATTTAATTTGGATTCCAGTTTTACAAGCTTTGCAGTTACAGATTTTCTTTCTAGTTATCCTGTTTTGAAAATGTACTACCTAATTAAGTATTAGACATTAGGGGCTGGGGATTTAGCTCAGTGGCAAAGCGCCTGCCTGGCAAGCGCAAGGTCGTGAGTTCAGTTCCCGGTACCGGAGAAAAACCAAAAAAAAAAAAAACAAAACAAAAAAAAAGTATTAGACATTAGTCAGGCAGGGGCAGGTATCTTTACCCCCAGAAGCAGAAAAATATCCTTACTCTCTGGCTTCCATGGTGATACATCCTTTTTTCTGATGAATCCAAACGGCTTTGTCTTAAGTGTAGGTGCTTATAGAGATGTGATCAACCTCTGTCACCTGCCCCAGTTAACTCTGCCTGCCTGGAAGCTCCTAAAGGCATTGGCAGGAGAGTTCCTCAAAACTTGCTGGATTAATAGTATTAGTGATTTTTCCAAAGCAAGAAAGGAGGCAGGGGCTTCTGTGGTGGCTCTTCTGGAATTTCACCCTTAAGCATACTCCTGCAAAACCAAGTCTTGGCAGGATTCCTGGAAATAATGCGAGAAGGGAATCCCCTACCATTTAGGGAGTTTGTTATTACAGGGAAAACTTGGTCTGTCACTCTCAAATTCTTAGTACGACAAAAGAGATTCATTTATGCCTGGCTCTTTGAATTGCTTTACCAGGGGTTCTGGAGTCCACAGGAGAAAGGGAGTTATTACATAACTTTAAGCAGCAGAAGCCAGTGCCGAGCTACTTTCTCAAATCTCTCCTTACTGTGTTTTCATATCTTACTGTCAGTTCCAGGCCAGCTCCCTGTTACCGTGACACACTTACCCCAGGGATGTCACAGATTCTAATGACCTTATAACCACAAGTGAGAATGCTCCAAGAACACTACTCTGTACAGCTGAAGTCTTTTCCCCTGGGCCTCACCGCCTTCACTACACTAACTCTATCTCTTTTGTGCCTATGAAGCAATACCAAAAAAAAAAAACCCTGCAGTCATTATTAATCATATGGGGGGGCCGACTTCTTGTTTCAAAAATAAATTTTTTAGGAATGTGAAAACGAGAACCTGAACACGTAAAGTTATCCAAGGCAAATGCAAGGACTTTTTGATCATAATGGTTCTTTTCCCTCCACCTAATCCTAAAAGAAATTTCTATACAGCGCTTAAATGATGAAATTGATAATATATAAGCACTTTCTGTTAAACATTTTCATTTATTTTTAAATGACTTTTCTTACTGCAAAATGGACAAAGGACACATACCAGAGCCAGAACCAGAGGCGGTCACATCATAAATCAGATCTTTAAGCGTTTTTCCAGCATTTACCAGGTTGCACTCAGAGAGCGGCTCCTCCACGTTGTGCCTGTTTGTCCTCCGGTAGCCGCACTGTCGGCCCTGGCGTGCCCATATTGTCAGCATGGCCAGCACAGACAGGAGGCAGACAGGCACAGTGATAACAATGGTCAGCTCCATGGATCTGAGTTTGGGGCTATCTGGTGAAGCTGCAGTTAAAAAAAAGAAAAGACAACCATAATTCAAGCCATCTGAATTACTTTAGAAACCAGAAAGGCAATTACCAAGATTTCTCAAGTAGAAGATCCAGTGACATGGTATGCCCTTAGTTCAGCAGCAAAGGTGCTACAATAGGCAAAGATGGGGAGAGCTGAGATTAGTTTGTAGCAAGGAATGTGTATGTCGGTAAGAATGGGAGGCAGAATTAGAATCAGGGAAAAGCACTAGCATGCAAAATTCTTGTTTAAGGCTTCAAAGTATTGGATGCATCTTCATATCCTGTTTTCTCACCCCTTATTCAGCAGCATGTCCTTAGAGCCCCACGCTCATTCATTCATTCATTCATTCATTCATTCATGCCCCAAATAACTACTGGGCTCTTGCAATGTGTGACTCTAGCCCAGGTCCTGGAGATGCAATGGTGAGAAGAGTCCAAATCCCTCTTTGAGGGCAGATGTGCTCATACACACGGCTAAGCTGACAGACATGTAACACAAGGGTGGGGGGGTGCGACAGAGATGAAGAGCAGCGGTGTCAAGATGCCACCTGAGATTAGTGGTCACGGAAGGCCTCTGTGTGGAAGCGCAGATGCAAAGAGACAAAGGAGCAACCCCTGCCTTGCTACCGCTGTGATTCAGGGGAAAGAGCACACGATGGTGCCAATGTGCTCACTGTCGCACTGCTCTCCCAAATACCCCAGGTCTGTGCCTGCTCTGCCCGTCACCCGCCATTCAGACACAGCCCCACTCAGTGCCACATGGGAACCATCCCACTGCCAGCCGGAAGCTGTGAGCTCCGTGAGCTCATGAGCTAGACAGTGACTCTTCGTGAGGTGCAGAGTTTGGGGCAGGGCTGGGGAGGAGCAGCACAGACAGAGTGGGCTGTACAGGGCGCCTCACCCAGAGCGCTACAGAAAGAGCAGACAAACACAGCTTCAGGGCTTATGGCAGAAGGAAAAGGGTTGAGATCGAGAAGGCCTTCTGGAAATCGGAGGAAGGCTGGCAGCTTGACCAGCCACACTGCGCACACCCTGCCTCCAACGCAACTGAAGGTGTCCCATCCTAGGACTGAAGGTAGCCAGGCCCACAGGAGCAGGACTGCAGGCAGCACAGTGCCACCTGCAGAAGGATGCGGAGGGGGTCAGCACCCCCAGCTCTTTCACTTGCTGCAGGCAAAAGAGCAAGTTAAAGCAAAGGAGCCAGCTCAAGCCCAGGAGACACGCCCGGCCTCCTGGACTCACCCACAGAGGACTGGAGCTCAGCCCAGCAACTGCTTAGTCAAGGTTTTCCGTCTGTGAATATAGGGGAGCATGCTCATCACATCATGAACGCAGTGTACATAGGACCTACTCAGCCATAAAGAGGAGTAAATTTGAGGATTCTCGTTTTGTGTTTGTGTGAGGCTGTCTCTCTTTCTCTCTCTCTTTCATCTAGTAGATAGAAGGTATTTGCATATATGAAAAGGAGAATAAAATTAATTAGAGCTTTAGCTGATAAAAGTCTTGAAAACACAGGCAAGGACTTTCTGAACAGAATCCCAGTTACATAAGAAACAACAGCTAACAAAAGGAACTATAGCAAATTAAAAAGCTTCCGTATAGCAAGGCCAACGACCGAGTAAAGAGACAGCCTACACAGTGAGAAAACACTGCCAGCTACTCTTCAAACAGAGGACTAATATCTAGAATATATAAAGAAATTAAGAGCCAGGCATGGTGGTACATGCCTGTAATCCCAGCACTTGAGAGGCTGAGGCAGGAGGATTACCATGAGTTTGAGGCCAGCCTGGGCTACACAGTGACTCAAGGCCAGCTTGAACTACAAAGCAAGACTCTGTCTCAAAAAGAAAAAATAAAATAGAAAACTAAACTCCCTCAATCAAAAAATGGAAAACTGATATAAAGAGACATGTCTCAAAAGAACTGCAAATAGCCACTAAGTACAATAAAAAAAATTTCAGCACCATTGACTGTTAGAAAAATGCAGTTCAAAACACTGAGATTCCATCTTAGTCCAGGTAAGAATGGCTATTATCAAAAACAAACAATTGTTGGCAACATCATGGAGAAAAAGGAACCCTTCGACATTGCTCATAGGAAGGTAAACTAGTACAACCAGTATGGAAGTCTGTACGTAGGTTTCTCAAAAAATTATAAACAGAAATTCTATTTGGCCCAGCTGGACCGCTTCTGAGTATCTTCATGAAAGAGTTAAAGTCATATTACAGTAATGCATGCATATATTCATGCTTATAGCAGCATAACCCATAATAGCTCAATTATGGGAGTGGCTATATGCCCATCAATAACAGCAGGTGAACAGATAAAGAAATTTGGTATAAATATATATAAATTGAGTACTACTCAGCCATAAGGAAAGCTAAATCTGAGCCATTTGTGTAGGAAAATGGATGGATCTTGCTAAATCAGACACACATTAAATATCATATGTTTCTCTAATATGAGAGATCCAAGATCTCTCATATTGGCTGAGAGATCCAAGTTCAGAGAGAGACGGTTCAAAACAGGAAGGTAAGGGCTGGGGATATAGCTCAGTGGCATACGTGCCTGCCTGGCAAGCACAAGGTCCCGAGTTCAATTTCTGGTATCAAAAATAAAGAAAAAAGAAACAAGAAGGTAGACTCTGTGGGGATGGAAAGGGCTCTGGGGAAGGAGGGAGAGGGGAGGGCAGTAAAGGAGGAGAAGTGAAATGGGGATGATTCCCCAGGATGAATGTAATTACTATGCATTACAAACATGTACTAAAAATCAGTAGGGATGACTGCAGATCCCTTGGCAGGGACAAGCTCCCAGCAGAGAAAAGCCAGGATAAAGGCCCTGAAGGGCCTTGGGGCAGGAGCACCCATGGCAAGTTCAGGATCATCTTCCACCCAAAGTGCAATAAATGAACGAAGACACCAGGGAATGGGTCAAGGAGGTAAGAATGGGAAACACAACGTGGAGGCCTGCAAGCAAAGAAAAAAGCTGTGAAGTTTATTCAAGGCAGATGCTACTGAGCTTTGGGCAATGACAGATATGATCTACATTTATTCTTGGTGTCAGCGTTTGCATGGACAACAGAAAAGTGAGAATAAAAACAAACAGACCAACCATCTGGGAGGTGAGGGGTTTAGCTGATGACCCCACCAGAAAAAGCACTTTCTTCTCCTTCCCCTTCACTCTGTAGACACCTTGCCCTACTTCATTTTAATTCCTGGGTCACATCATCACTGGCTACATCATATACCCATTGATTTATTATCTGATTTTACTTTGTGAAGGGAAAAAGTTTGCCTGCTTGTTCCCAAGTGGTGGTGCCTGATACATAATAGTTGACCAATAAATAGTTCTTAGAGGGCACAATCACTAACAGCTCTAGTTTTGTTCCTAACAAGTAAAGGATGAGACTTTTTGTCCTTGAAAAATAAATGTGATTACTGACATCAAATAAGGATGGAAATAAAATTGTGGTGCAAATTTTTAAAATTATATATAGTTGGGCTGGGGATGTAGTTCAGTGGCACAGTGCCTACCTGGCAAGCATAAGGCCCTGAGTTCGACTGCTAGTAACAAGACAAATAAATAAATAAGATAAGATAAAGTGAAATTTTTTACTTAAGCCTCATCTTCCACTTAAGAACTCTTTTTTATTTAGAAAAAAAAGTGATACATGAAAAATCTGAGAGATATTTCCTGTTTCTTAAAATTATTTTGACACTTGAAACTGGTACACTGATCATTTCCTTTCCATTCATTAAAGAAAGCTTCAGCATCAGTTCCATTTTATCACCACATCCTACCATCAGGGGTGTTGGGTTTTTAAAATAAGACTTAAGGAGTATTTGATAGGATTGAGAATAGAATTGAGGACACTCAGGCTCTCAAACATCAAGAAGAATATAGGCACTGGAAAGAGAAAAGCCCAATTGTGGGCTGCCTCCCTCTCCCTCTGAACCTTGGGGAAACTTCTCCACCAACTCCAGGAAGAGCATGAGAGGTCGTATCTGGGAAGCCAAAGCATAACACTTGTGCCTTAGAGTCTAATACATGACTATGACAACAGGCATTGTGAGCTGTGCCATTCTTCAGGCCTCCTTCTCTTCATCAACAAGGCTAGAGAGCTTATTGCATTACCTCACAATGTGTCAAAAAATACAAAAGGAACAGTTTCGCCATAATCTTAAAAAGTTTCAATCTACTATCAGTAAGCAAAATATATAACATTGCTAAGTTAACTTTGGAAACATAACCCAGGGTCTTTTGCTCTGCTTTGTGAATTCTGATCAGTCACCAACTTTCCTTCTCTGAAGTTTTAGGATTCTCTGGGATTATTAGAAGCTGTACAGGCGCACAGGAGGAGATCTTGGCCTTCAATGTTCTTCAACATTGTACCAAAGGAGTTTGCTGATGGCTTTGCTTTGAAAAATCACTAACCGTGGTTCTTATAAATGCTAAATCTTGCTGTTATAAAAGAATTTCATCGGGGCTGGGGATTTAGCTCAGTGGCAAAAGCGCCTGCCTGGCAAGCGCAAGGTCGTGAGTTCGGTTCCCGGTACCGGAGAAAAAACCAAAAAAAAAAATAAAATAAAAGAATTTCATCACCCATCTCAAGTGATCTTTCAAACTGCATCCACATTTCCACATCATCACAAAGGTATCAAGCTAGGTTCGCTAAGAAAGGCACAAAATATAAATACCTGCATTCATTTTATTTATGAAACACCTATCGAAACTTATTTTTGAAGATAAAATTCCACTATTGGATACATTTCCATGGCTAAATTTTGTTTTGATATGTGTTATTAAGAACTGCCAATATAAACATTAGCCTTAAAAAGCTTATTGATTGTCTTCATTTTAGTAAAGCTCTATTAAGCAGAGCTCAGATCATCACTATGGAAACTAATAAAGAGGCAAAAGGTCAGCAAACCTGAAAATAGAATAATCTCTATAAAAGTGCTCTGCTCGATGATGGCTACCACTCTTGGGATG